CGGAAGGGGTCGGCTATGGCGTAGGAGGCGCGCGAACAATGCGCGCGTTGGCCCTCGCAACGTCTACTCGCATCGCGGGGGGGCTTGCCCGGGAAACCCATCGGAGATATGGCCATCGGGCTGGCCCCGCTCCGATGGCGTTTCTGTTCGCAGGTCAGGGGCGCCCTCGCGCGCGACGGGCCGAAGCAGACAGGGGGGGGGCGGGGTGCAGATGTTTACTTGGATTCCTGTTTGCGCGGGGCATAGTTCGCACCACTACATGACGAGTTCGTTATCAGCTTAAAGTCGGGGTGGGTCATGGATTTATGCGACGTCCACGATTTTTTGTTCGGGTGGCCGTGCGCGGTTCGGACTGCCCTCGAGATGTCGCTCCCGCCGCGATTCCTGCATGTTGTATTTATTCGACGTGCATCGCCGCGAGCCCCGAGGCAATTTCGGGCCCCGTCGCGCCCATGTCAGCCGACGAGAAGCACTGGGCAGGGCCTGAGATCAGGCGTTCGGTTCGGTCGCGTCACGGCGCGCTCTGTCTTCAAAGTAGTTGTTTTGGCGCGCGCGAGTGCCAGCCATCGAGCGCGAATAGATGACGCATCTCAGCAGATTCTCGGATCGAGGCGGGCCGTCAGGCCCGGCCTTCGGGGCTGCATCGCTGACGCGTGCGAGGCGCAGATGCAAGTGGGTTGGCTCGCGTGAGAAAGCGCAGGCGAGACCTCCTGCCCCCGTGGACGAGCGTGAAGATTTGGGACAGGCGCGCGCGCATCCGGGCAGATATTGATCCAGGCCCGCCTCCGCCTAGGACGCGCTTGCACCGCCGCGTCTCGCGGGCGGCGCGTCGCAATTATTCTCGAGTTCCGAGCCCCTGGCCAGGTTCGACGGCTCAAGCTGCCGGCGCAGCGCATGGGCTGGCGGCTGCAGAGCTGCCAAGACAGCCTAGACATTCGCGGTGGAGCCCAGCGGATTTGGTGGCAAAGTGCGGCCCAGATCACCAGCGCATGATTCGAGCATCGATGTGCGCAGGTTCGTGGGCCAGTGTCGGCTGTCATCTTGGTTGTAATTGAGGCTGGATGGGGAGTTGATGACGCAGCGGCTTGGACAATCCCAGAGCTCCATCCAGCAGCAGCAGGCAGTGATTGGATATTCGGCGATCGCCTGTGCATTGGCGTTCGGTCGCTTGGCTATCATGACGGTGTTTTTCGGGGGGGATTCTTTGATTTTCGGGCGGCAAATCAGCGGCCGAGGGCAAGCGCGCCCTATTGCGTCGCTGGCTTGTGGAAGCGATCCGATTTCGAGTTTGACCGGGCCCTTCTATCACAATGACAGGTGGTGGTTTGGTGTCGAGGAAGCGCAAAAATAAATCATGGCGATAGCATTTGCGACAAATCCCTGTTCCACGGGCTTCATGTGTTTAGATATGTATGTTTAGGTACGAATGTGTATATATTTTTACATAGACATATGTAGAGCCTACTTGGGCGCGCGGCCTCCAAACATACCCGCTCGAACTATTGTCAGGCTTGGTTCTCTTGGGATGTCGGCCACCCTTGGATTCCATGCGGCCTGTGCTACGGCAGCCGCGCGAGAATAATCAACAGTTTGGCCCGTCGGCCAGCCTCGCCATGGATTGAGGCAGCAGCCGTACCCACTTTCGGCCGCACAGCGTTTTCGCCTTGCGCTCGCCCGCCCGCGAAGGCGGCCACGCGCGGCCAGCTGCGGTTTTTGCTCGTACCCCTTCGGCCTGGGTCAGGGGCTGCGGCTCGCAGGCCGGAGGGAGCTCAAGCACGCTAGACGAGTACAATCAGCTGGCCCACTTGATTCTTGATCCAAACGTCAGCGCCTCCCTCTTCTGATCCCCCTTCGTTCGTTGGTCCGGTGGGAGGTATCCGCCGCGGCCCCGCGTGCGGAGGGAGCAGCGTGGATCTGGAGGACCATGGAACCCCCACGCATTTCGGGCATGCGTGTTTGAACTTGTCCTCGGGAGCCACAGGCAGCGTCACAATGGAGCCCCCGCGCATTTCGGGCATGCGTGTTTGAGCGTTGCTTCTTCGTCGTCGCGTCGTTTCCTGCCGTTGCCACTGGGCGCCTCTTGCGCTGGAAAAGTGTTTGAACGTTTCCTCGGGAGCCACAGGCAGCGTCACAATGGAGCTTCGGGCCCGGGCGCACGCCGGCCAGATGGTCAAGCCAACGGCGCAGGCAGTGTCCCGAAGGCATTTAGAGGCTGCGCTCGGCCAAATTCGCTTGCCCCGAGATGTTTCGCAGAACTGTTGTCAGGTAATTGGCACAGCAAAGGGGTTACAGCCAGCCTGGCACAGCAGACTCGAAACAATAAACACATTAGATCTGGGAAGGAAGAGGGGCAAGAGGGAGAAGGGACAGGAGGAAGAGGAGGAGGAGGAGGAGGAACAGGAGGAGGAGGAGGAAAAGGAACAGGAGGAGGAGGAGGAGGACAAAGGATTCCTGGGATTCCTGGTGGCGGGCTCCTGAGTGCAAGCTCAGCCCCTACATCCCATTCACGCCTCAGGGAAACTCATGCCATATTTAGGCGGGAGACCCTTCCGCAGCCTGCTGAGATTCTGCTTCCCTGTAGTGCTACAGGGCCTGGGGTGCGCCTGGTCACGCAGGGGGCAGATCACAGCAAGATTCACTGGGGTCCCTACACAAAAATTTCCACACGCAGCACAAAATAAAACTCCTCGAAACACATGCAACTGGTGTGAGGAGTGGCACAGGGGAACGCTCGGATGGTGCCACCTTCAGACCCGACAGGCCTCCACGGACCGATCCCAGCAGAGGGCCCATCCCTCGAAGCGGGACCCAACACCACAGGGCCTGGACAGGCCTCAGGCCAAAATTGATCCAAGCGACCTTTCAAGGCAGGGAAACGTCCCGCACATAACTTACATTTAAAAACAGTACTCGTCTTCAGGACAACATGCCCTTGCTGGACGAGGCGGGCTTTACGATGGCTGGCACTATTAATCCTAGCCTTCTCTTTGTGTTGCTCGCGGCCTAGTCTATCCTGGCGGGTACGACCACAAGTCAACGACACGTGACGACTGATAGCTAGGAGCCGCTGCAACACGAGGCCACAACATGAATCAACACTACGCACTGTTCTGACTAATTCTGGATCTAAGGCCCCCCATTCGGCAGCCACCCCAGCGAAAACATCTGCAACCGAATTAGCAACAAGGCCGTGGGGAGAGATCTGGTACTGGTCGATCTGGCTCCTGGTAGGATGACTTTTAACCCATGTCGCACGAACTTCACCTGATCGAATTCCAAGAGTGGTCCAAACTTTTTGCCATAAGTCCAGCATGGTAGAGTCATCCACACGTGCTCCCTTTCTTCTGAAGGCCAAGACAATAGGCTGGTAATCAATGTAAACGTGAATTGGGCCCTCGGTGTACACCAAGAGCTGATGAAGTGCAAACAGTTCTGCTCGAGGAGAGCTCTGCACACACATACCAACAGTAGGTAAGGTACCACAAAGGATACCTCGAACTTCAAGCGAATCGGGGTCCAGGTGAACAACTGACCAACCGCATCTCCTCATCCTCCAATCCTTTCCATGTTCTCCTCCTGACCCGTCGGTCCCATACACTCCTCCGACGATTTTAACTCCAGAACTGATGGACTCCAAGAAAGATCCCCAGGCCCAGACACGAAGTTGCCCATCAGGAAGGTCATCCAGCGTCCAGCCCATGGGGACCAACCCTCGGGTCCAAAAACAGGAAGCGTCACTGGCCCCCTGGCGGGCATCATCGGTGAACCTATCAGTGAGTCGGATCGCAGAATCTTCGATATTTTTATTGTCCTCACACTCCCAAAACCGGTGGAAGGGGGTCTCAGGGGCCAAACCACACCTGGGACACACTCCGTTGCTTTCATACCCCGACTCTTTTAATCTCATTTCAGGCCACTGCCCACCTATGATCAGGTTGGTGAGCAAAGCAGCTCCTTCTCCATCACCATTCTTTTTCAAAGAGGCGTGGAGCTGCTTAAAGACTGGAGGAGGAGGAGGAGGAGGAGGACGAGGAGTTGGGGGGAGGGGTGAGGGGCGAGGGGCGAGGGCGACGGTCGCGGGGGCGGCAGCCGGCGAAGGGGCCTCCGACCGGGGGGGTCCCAGTGGCAAGTCATGGGACTTTGGTGCACTGGCGTCGCGCACAAGGCGGTACAGTCAACGCGCCTAGTATGGACGCGCGCCTTCATCTAGGGTACCCTTGAGTCCTTGCCTCTGCGGCCCGTCCTTCGCCGTTTCCACTGGCCGCCCCCCGCCCCAAAAATCCAACTTCGGCCTCCGAGGGTCTTGCGTCCTTATCACCCGTCCGTAAGATACGCTTTGACTGTAGTGGGAGCGAGCTGCCTCTTAGAAGGCGGCTGCCTCTTAGAAGGCGCTGGCCGCTCTTCTATGCAACCAGGGGCGCTGCGCTCCCTAGAAACACCCCAGGAACATCTCAGAGGCACGGAGCTGCTTCTCAAGAGCAACAATCGGTTCTTAGAAGCAAGCCATTTGTTGCTTAGAAACACGCCAGGAACAGCTTCTGAGAAGCAACCACAAGCTTCATAGAAGTGGCGTCCGCGCCTTCTAAGAATAGGGGGTGCTTCCAAGAAGCTCTGCCCCCTTCCGATACCCCGTTCTGCGCGTGGCAGTGTACCCTCTGAATTCAGTCTTCAGCGTCGATGAGCGTCGATTCGCACGTGGGAGTCGGTGAGACAACGCCAATTTAGCGTCAATCAGCGTCGGCCTAGCATCGATTCGTGTCGATTTAGCGTCGACGAGCGTGGATTCGCAAGAGTCAACAAGATGGTATGCGAGGCTCCCGTGAGTTGTCACAGAAGGGGGCTGGGGTCTGGTTCTGGACCTTTGCTTCATGCGACCGTGGGCAGCAGTGCGTCCCATGGAGGAGACTCCACCTGCTCGTAAAACGGTGCCACAAGCAGCCAAGACCTACTCCATGGGGGGTGTTGCGAGGGCCCCCATGAGTCGTCACAGAAGGGGGGAGGGATGCAGAGCTTCGCCGAGAGCGTCGCGCTGGAGGCGGCCCTGCCGCCGCGCCGCCCCCCGCGCCGCCCCCGCCGCCCCTCTCGGGTCTCCGGGCGGCGGGCTGCCCGCAACGCTGTCCCCGCTTCCGGAGCTCGGCTCGCGCGGCGGGCTGGACGAACGGCCTGGCGCGGTGCAGACACCCCAGGCTATGCATGCACGGAAACACCAAAACCCACACATACACCCACACACGCACACGCACACGCACACACAAACACACACACACACACACAAACACACAAACACATGCACACACACACACACTCCCACACACCACACACCACACACACACACACCCGCACACACCCGCACACCCGCACACACACACACATACACACACACACACACACACACGCACACACGCACACACGCACACACGCAAACACGCACACACGCAAACACGTGCACACACTTGTTTGTGGCGGTCGCGGCCCCGCGCGCAGCGACGAGGCGCAGCAGGTCCAGCGAACGGCACGGTGCAGGCGCGCGTTGCCCGGCCGCCCTCCGACGCGGGATCACATTGGCATTGCCGCGCATGGTCACCCAGGGGGGGCGGCAAAGAGGGGGGTGATGACTAGGGGACTAGGGGGGGGGTGGATATCATGGCCCTGGCATCGCTCGGACGTGTGCGTTTTTTCCTCGGCGAGGACCATCGTGGATCATCCTTCGAAAAAACCACGCACGAAACCGAAAAAAACACAGGGAATGGACGTCCGAGCGATGCCGAGTGGCAGGGGCCATGATATCTCCCCGGATTTCATGGCGCCTCTGCTTATTTCATTTCTTCCCTGGCCCCCCCGCTGGGCCGCGCACATGCAGCCGGTCATGATTTGCACCCCCCCCCCTCTTGGACACCCCCCTCTTGGCTGCCCCCGATGGTCACCCAGGGGGGTGAGCAGCATGTGACCATCCGGGCGTAGATGGCCGAGAGAGGGGAGACATGGGGCGTCCCACGCGGAACCCGCAGCTAGACTGGGCTACAAGATCGAGGTCGGTTCGGGGAGTGTGCGCTAATGTTCTTCGTGCTTGTTTGATGTTCTTACGCATCCTGGGTAGGGTACCCTCGGATGTTCTGATTGCATTGGCCAGCGGAGGGCCTCATGTTCTTGAAGGATTCTCTTCTGGCCTAGGTCCGACTGTAAAGAACAAAGGGGCACCATGCAACAGGACGCCATTGCCCAGCCTTCCTCCCGAGGCGCGAGAGGTTGCGGGAGGGAAAAAGCGCTCCTGGGACGCAGCGCCCCGCACCCCACCTGGAGCGGCGGCAGCGGACTCCGCCTCGCCGTCGGAGGCGGCGAGGAAGACTTCTTCAGGCAGGAAAAGGATAATGATGCTGCTGATGATGACGATTCTGCTGATCATCATGATGATGAGCCTGATGATGTTGATGATGATGCTGCTGCTGATGATGATATTATTTTTGGTGTTGCTGATGATGATGGTGGTGATGATGAGGATGATGCTGATGACGATTATGATGATGATGATGATGACTATGATGATGAGGATGCTGATGATGATGCTGATGATGCTGATGCTGATGATGCTGATGCTGATGCTGATGCTGATGCGGATGATGACGACGATGACGATGACGATGGCATCATGATCCTCATGCGTCGTCATCGTCATCTTTATCTTCGTCATTCTCATCATCGTCGTCGTTGTCGGCGGCGTCGTCGTCTCGTTTTCGTCGTCGTCATATCGCCATCGAGGCTGAGCTGTGGAGCAGAAAAGTCGCGGGGGGTAGAGGAGCGCTGGCCACCCACCTGCGGCGGGGCCCGCAGCACGCGCTTACCGAGCGACCCCCACGTGCCAGCGAGCGTTGGCGTGGTTTGTTCGCGACGTGGGAGGTGTCGTCCAGCAGGGCCGTCACGCGGGTGACCAGGGGGAGGGGCTCGGCGCCGGAGGCAACTGACGAGGCCGTCCCAGCCGCCTTGCCGGCGAAAGCCCGCACACACACAGACGGACACAAAAAGGAAGCGCGAGCAGTCAGGGACGAGGAGGGAGATGGGAGAAGCATCATCGAAAGCACAACGAAGACGTAGCCTAACTTAGGTCCCCGTCTTCGCGAAAGAAAGTCCCCACATCCTTAATGTGTTTGGCCCTCCTGACTTATGTTCTCTTCCACTGGGTCACGTTTTTTTTGGTTAACCAAGTCGGGAAGAGGAGGAGAAGGAAGGGGAGGACGGCCCATTTGGGCAATTTTGGGAGGGGGTCCTCGCGGGGCCATTTGGTGGCGTGTGTGGGGGGGGGAGCGACGATCTTGTGAGTTTCTCAGAGCCGAGCTGGGAGCAGGTGGGAGGAGGAGGGAGGAGGGAGGAGGGAGGAGGAGGAGGAGGAGGAGGAGGAGGAGGGGCAGAAGGAGGAGGTGGAGGAGGAGGAGGAGGAGGAGGAGGAGGAGGGGGGAGGGGGGGAGGAGAAGTATAAGTAGTAGGACAAGGTAAGTAGGGAGGAAGGGAGGGAGGGAGGAGAAGGAGGAAGAGGAAGAGGAGCAGGCGGAAGAGGCAGGAAGGAGGAGGGAGGGAGGAATTGAGGAGGAGGAGGAGTAGGAGGAGGGGGAAGAGGAGGGAGAAACCGAGGAGCAGGAGGAGGAGACGCAGCAGCAGCAAGAGGAGCAAGAGTGAGGATGACTACCCCCCCAGCGCTGCCGCCAGGGCGACCAGCACGGGCACAAGGTGCCCGCGGTGCACCTGGACCGGCCGCCCTCGCCCCCCCGACGGGGGCCGCGGCCGGCCGGGGCAACGTCAGAGGGGGGAGGTCTTGGCATCGCTCGGGCGTGTGCTTTTTTCGGCTGTGCGCCAGGGGGGAAATGAGACCAACCAGGGCCCCTGGGTTTAGACAGGATCGGCGTCGAGGGGGGGAAGTGAGAAGGAGAAGGCCCTCTCAGAAGGCGGCGGGACTCCCCAGAAGCCCTCGCGCCCTCTGAGAAGTTGTTCTCTCTGTCCTCGGGGGAGGCGTCAGTGAGAGAAGCCCGGGGGGGCTTCCAAGCCTTCTGAGGAGGCCCGCACTTTCTGACTTCCCCCCCCCCCCCGGGCTCGCCGCCGAGTCAAGGGCAACGTTAGGGGGGGAGGCTTGGCATCGCTCGGGCGTGTGCACTTCGCCTCTGCGAGGGCCCTCGGGGAGCACCCCGGCTCATCGAGGGAGCAAGAACACGCACGAAAACAAAAAAAAAAACACGCACGAGACCAACACATGCACAGGGAATAGACGTCCGAGCGATGGCTAAGAGGAGGAGGAGGAGGAGGAGGAGGAGGAGGAGGAGGAGGAGGAGGAGGAGGAGGTGGAGGAGGAGGAGGAGGAGGAGGAGGGGGAGGGGGAGGAGGAGGTAAGTAAGTTTTGCTCCCGCCCTGGATACTGCCCCCAGGAGGTCCCCGGACGCCTCCAGAGGCCTTTGGAGGCCCGACGAGGGTTTGAAACGTCCGGGGGGGGTTGATCGAAGAGAAACAGGCTGCGTAAACAGGCGTAAATCAGGCCTGTCCCTCTACAGGAGGAGTATTTGAAACATCGTAGAACAAATTGTCGGGGGACAAAGTTTCGAGCATTTGTTGGTTTGTTGCTTGCATTGGTTTGTATTTTTTGTTTTTCGTACAGCTTGTAGGGGGACATGCCCGACCTAAGCGTAGACTTTCGGAGCTCATCGCGGATTCCGAGGATCTGCGGCGGGAGTCCCCGTCGGCGTCTCCGGTGCCGCTCGTGGTGCACTCCACCCGCCAGGGCATGAGATTCAGAGCAGGTCCAAGAAATCCACGCGGACCTCCCAAAGTTTACGTTCATTTTGTTTAGGTCGGGGAGGTTTCGAGCACTGAAGTTCTTAGACGAATTCGTCGGTTCACGGCGGCCGCGCCTCGCCGAGCGCGTTCTGGGGACGCCGCCGGAGAGTTGCCTGAAACCAAGGGGCAACGTCAGCAGGAGCGGGTAGGCTCGGGGTGGAGGCAGCGAGCCCCAATCTGACGAACGAGCAACACACACACACACACCCATACCCATAGGGGGGTCGTTGGGAGGAGGACTGGCTATGGGTTGGGTGCGGGTTGTCGGACCCTGGGGAACGCTCCCGCTCGAGCGGGGACCCCCATCCGACAACACGCACCCATAGCTCTCTCCGACCCGCCTATGGGTATGGGTGTGTGTTGTTGGTTCGTCAAATCGCTTATTGGTCGCCGATCTGGCCCCGACAGGCCCGCTCCGGCCAGGAGCGCGCGGACGGGCTACCGGGAGCTAGTCGCTGATATACCAGCGAGGCGTCGCGGATTCCAGCTCGACGCTTCCCCTCGCGAGCCAGCCCCCCCCCCAGGCGTCCCCCCCCCGCCCCGAGCGAGGAAGATCGGGCCAGGGGCCAGGAGGACCTCCTCCTCCTCCTCCTCCTCCTCCTCCTCCTCCTCCTCCTCCTCCTCCTCCTCCTCCTCCTCCTCCTCCCCCTCCTCTCCTCCTCCCCTCCTCCTCCTCCTCCTCCTCCTCCTCCTCCTCCTCCTCCTCCTCCTCCTCCTCCTCCTCCTCCTCCTCCTCCTCCTCCTCCTCCCGATCCTGGACCCAAGATGGGCCTGGCCAGGATCGGCGTGGGTATATTAGCTGGCGCCCTCCCAGAAGAAGGCGAGCGAACGGGGGAGGAGCGAGGATCGAGGTGGTGGTCGCGCTGTCGGGCGTTTTCTCGTCGGCTCCTGCGGCGGATTTTTCCTCGCCTCGGGATGCGTTCCAGCAGCCGCGCCTCGCTGGGAGCGTTCGGGGGGCGCCCGGATCGTCCCGAGCGGCCGATGGAAACGGAGACCCGTTCGGAAGGGTAGTGGCCCAACCATGCCCTGGTTATCTCGACGTAGTCAACAACGCTGCGGTGCTCTGGGGAGGCGGAGAGAGCATCCTTTCCTCTCACCACCTCCTGTTGCCTCAGATCGTCTAGGTTCGAAGTTGGTTCAGATATGCTCCCTTCTGTGCGCATGTTCTAAGCCGCTCGAGGCGCAAAGTTCTTATGCCCCAGCGCCTTACTTTGCTTTGGGGCATAAGAACTGATATGGCTGCTGATGTTCCCTCCGTCGCCATCCCCTTTTCGTCGTCGTCGGTCGTCGTCGTCGTCGGTCGTCGTCGTCGTCGTCGTCGCCGTCGTCGGGCGTCGTCGTCAATTAATTTCTCGCCCGCGGATCGGCCAAAAAATGGTTGGTATTTCAAGGCACCTTTTGGGGGCGAAAAGGTAGCTTGAAATACATGGATGTTTTTTCCAAAAGGGGTGTGAAAGCGAAAGCAAGAAGCGAATTTGGAATATGTCGGCCGTCGCGGGCCCCAAACAGCAAGTTGCTGCACCATGGAGGTGCAACCTATGTGGTATATGCTATGTTGTTTGAGCTACGCGGTGGAATCTATGTGGTATAGGATGTATTATGCAAGCTATGCGGCGTGAGTCGTCGTCGCCGTCGTCGTCGGTCGTCGTCGTCGCCGTCGCCGTCGTCGTCGTCGCCCATTACGGAACGGCCAAAAAAAATAGCTGGTATTTCAAGCTACCTTTTGGGGGCGAAAAGGTGGCTTGAAATACATGGGTGGTCGCCCCCGGCGCTGCCTCCCTGGATCTCCCCTAAACCATTGTCGCCCAGATCCTCAGCTAAAGCTTCAGCACTGGGCTCAAACCAGACCAGCCAGACCAGCCAGACTGCAATGCAAAAAAAACTGCAATGCAAAAAAAACGCTTTTCGGTGGTCGTCCCCGGCGCTGCCTCCCTGGACCTCCCCTAAACCACTCTCGCCTGAATCCTAAGCTAAAGCTTCAGCACTGGGCTCAAACCAGACCAGCCAGACCAGCCAGACTGCAATGCAAAAAAACTGCAATGCAAAAAAAACTGCAATGCAAAAAAAAACTGCTTTTCGGTGGTCGTCCCCGGCGCTGCCTCCCTGGACCTCCCCTAAACCACTCTCGCCCAGATCCTAAGCTAAAGCTTCAGCACTGGGCTCAAACCAGACCAGCCAGACCAGCCAAACCAGCCAGACCAGCCAGACCAGATGCAACTCCGACCAAATGCAGCTCCGAGCAACTTGTTCTTTGAAAGCTTGGCGTCCCGCCGTGCGCTACAACGGCTAAGAACTTTATAATATGAGGACGGAGGAGGAGCACAAGGAAGAGGAGAACGGCGACGGCGACGGCGACGGCGACGACGACGACGACGACGACGACGACGACGACGACGACGGCAACGGCAACGACGACGACGACGACGACGGCGGCAACGGCAACGGCAACGACGACGACGACGACGACGAGGACGACGGCGGCTGCCAGAGGACACCGGCAAAACCAGCCAAAAGAGATCCGAAGCTCAGAATCCACAGAGCTCCCCCCAAGTCTGCCTGGGTGCCCCGCGGGAGCCCCGGGGGACGACGACGGCGACGACGGCGACGGCGACGGCGACGACGACGACGACGACGACGACGACGACGACGACGACGACGGCAACGGCAACGACGACGACGACGACGACGACGACGACGGCGGCGACGGCAACGGCAACGACGACGACGACGAGGACGACGGCGGCTGCCAGAGGACCCCGGCAAAACCAGCCAAAAGAGATCCGAAGCTCAGAATCCACAGAGCTCCCCCCAAGTCTGCCTGGGTGCCCGCTGCCCCGGGGGACCCTGGCAAAACCAGCCAAAAGGACCCGCATCGAGATCAGCGACGGCGACGGCGACGGCGACGGCGACGGCGACGGCGACGGCGACGGCGACGGCGACACGACGACGACGACGACGACGACGACGACGACGACGACGACGACGACGACGGCAACGGCAACGACGACGACGACGACGACGACGGCGGCGACGGCAACGACGACGACGACGACGACGACGACGGCGGCTGCCAGAGGACCCCGGCAAAACCAGCCAAAAGAGATCCGAAGCTCAGAATCCACAGAGCTCCCCCCAAGTCTGCCTGGGTGCCCGCTGCCCCGGGGGACCCCGGCAAAACCAGCCAAAAGGACCCGCATCGAGACCAGCGACGGCGACGGCGACGGGGACGGCGACGGCGACGACGACGACGACGACGGCGACGACGACGACGACGGCTAAAGCCTCAGCACCAGGCTCAAACCACACCAACCAGACCAGCCAGACCAGCCAGACCAGATGCAAAAAAACTGCAATGCAAAACAAACTGCAATGCAAAAAAACAACTGCAATGCAAAAAAAACTGCTTTTCTGTCGTGGTAGTTGTTGTCGCATCCTCCTCGGACCTCCCCTAAACCACTCTCGCCTGAATCCTAAGCTAAAGCCTAAGCACCAGGCTCAAACCAGACCAACCAGACCAGCCAGACCAGATGCAAAAAAACTGCAATGCAAAAAAAACTGCAATGCAAAAAAAACTTCAGCACTGGGCTCAAAGCAGACCAGCCGGACCAGCCAGACCAGATGCAACAAAAATTGCAATGCAACACAAAAATTGCAATGCAAACAAAATTGCAATGCAAAAAAAAATGCAATGCAAAAAAAATTCAGCACTGGGCTCAAACCAGACCAGCCAGACCAGCCAGACCAGATGCAAAAAAAAATTGCAATGCAAACAAAAACTGCAATGCAAAAAAAACTGCTATGCAAAAAAACTGCAAAGCAAAACAAAAACTGCAATGCAAAAACAACTGCTTTTCGGTCGTGGTAGTGGTTGTCGCTGCCTCCCCGGACCTCCCCTAAACCACTCTCGCCTGAATCCTAAGCTAAAACCTCAGCACCAGGCTCAAACCACACCAACCAGACCAGCCAGACCAGATGCAACAAAAAACTGCAATGCAAAAAAAACTGCAATGCAAAAAACACTGCTTTTCGGTGGTAGTGGTTGTCGCTGCCTCCCCGGACCTCCCCTAAACCACTCTCGCCTGAAACCTAAGCTAAAGCCTCAGCACCAAGCTCAAACTGGACCAACCAGACCAGCCAGACCAACCAGACTAGTCAGACCAGATGCAACTCCGACCAGATGCAACTCCGACCAACTTGTTCTTTGGAAGCTTGGCGTCCCGCCGTGCGCTACAACGGCTAAGAACTTTATTGTAGGATCCTCGTCACCACGGCTGGATCCGCTTCGAGATCCTGACCCAGGCGCACCCCTGGAGTTGTCCAGGGGTCCACTTTCACCGAGGAGGGGTTCGGCACGAAGGAACTCCACGGAGGACAGACGTCCTTTTGTCAACTGTGTTCTATATCCTGGGCCCCGCCAGGGCCCCGAGACCGGCACAACATGACTCGGTATGGACAGCCAGTCCCGGGGATGGCCCTGAGGTCCAGGATATCCGTTTCCTAATGCTCCTCTGGGATCCGTCTGCATACCCAGACCGCTGGCGGGTGGACGAGGGTGGACCAGGGGAGGGAGGGGGGGGACGGGGGGCGTGGAGGAAGAGGAGGAGATGGAGGGGGTGCAAGGGGGGAGAACGAGGTGGAGGGGGAGCATGAGTGTCTCAAGTGTTCGCAGCATGTTCCCTTGGCGCTCCGGCGTTTCAGGGTCCGGGGCTTCGCGAGATCCTGGGGCGGAGAGCTGGGGGAGTCGGATGGGGGGAGGGGTCAGGCTTAGCAGGGGGGGTACCAGATCTTGTAGTTTTCGTAAGCCTTTTTTCTCTGCGTGCTTCAGGAGTGGTGCCATTGTCTCCACGGCTTGACGGGGAATACTGGGTGCAGAGGGGAAGGGGGAGAGGAGGACAGGGACAAGGACGAAGAGGAGCAGCAGAAGCATCAGGAGAGGTAAGGGGGCACGAGGAAGGAGCGGAGGGAAAAAGGCCTGGCTAAAGTCGCCCAGCTTGTACCAAACTCCCGTCCGAAGCACCCTTCTCAAACAAGTCCTTGCAAGAAGCGCCCCCGTGAAAGATGTGCGCCAATGCAGCTGCCATTCAGGCGAGACCGCTTCGGAAAGGGATCCCCCTCTGTAGAATTCGAGTCAAGGAAGACATTCCTATAGTTGTGGCTAGAAAAGTAAAAGGGGGGCCCAGCGAGAGCCCCGTGCTGCAAAGGAAGCGCGCTTCACACGTTCGACGATTACATGTCCCATTCCTCGGCGCACACTTGGATGGCCGCGAGAGTCGCATCTTCAAGCAGAGTTGCCCTCCATCCGTGAACGTTGCACGATTTCCTGGCGCTGGTCACACATCAAGATGGAACCCCTAACATTGAACATTCATGCTGCATTCTCCTAAGACGAATGTGCGGGGTGCCGAGACGAGAACAGCGTTTTGAGACGAACCGCCCTGCATCTCTGCAGCTGCTGCAGACTTCGAGTACGCGGCAGTCAAGCCATTAACTTAATTAATTTGTGCACCGGCCACCCTCCACCCGAGTGAAAATGGTGGAGACGTTTCTCGGACGGATGCGCGCAGTGCTGAGGCGAGAGCCTCATCTTGGCAACGGTTCGCCTCGCCATGCGCGCAGCTGTGAGGGAAAGGTCCATGCGATCGTACGCGGTGTTTTTAGGCGAGAGCCACCTCTGGGGACGCAAGGGAGATGTTACGGGGCTGCACCGTCAGGGGAGGAGGAGGGAGGAGGAGGAAGGAGAAGGGCTGGGAAGGGGACAGGGGAAGGGAAAGATCATACAAGGCTGCCAAGCGATGGACGCGACGGCGTCTAAGGAAGCCCAACCAAGCCGACGGTTGGATTAGGATCGGATTCTCGTCGAGACATTTGCTGATTTAAACTTGCCCTTTGTGTCTTACCCCTCATGTTTATGTCTGCTGATTTTCAGCGGGATGTCCCGTCGCTTCTTGGCGGGTCACGGTTCCTCGCGGTCCTGTTTCAGGATTGGTGGGAATGGCATGGTTTGGCTATCCAACAGCACACATTCTGGCGCGCATCACGTATTTCGTGTCAGCGTCGTTTGGCTTGGCACACCTAAGTACTTGGGCTTAGACTTACTTGGTGTAGAGCGCCGCATGCCACCAAATGTTTGCCGCTTTCAGAAGGGCGCAGTGCACTGACCCACATGGCGTCCCTAAGAGCTGACAATCTCGCCATCGAGGACCCATGCGCCCGTGCCATGTGTGTGTGTGTGTTCGGTGCACGGCTTTCCGGATAAAGCAGCATCCGTGTGCATGTGCATTTTTAACATCTGATCAGTTCGTGTTATTCTGCCCATTTGACCCATGCTTCCAGACACTGTATTCTCAAACGAAGCGCTCTCAGGACGACCTCAATTTGCGGTTGTCTGAAGATTCGGTACACGGCGGTAAAGTTCTTTACGAGGCTTGTAATTTGTGGGGTGTCGTGTTTCCCTTGACAGCGAGTCTTGTTTCGTCCGTGTAACTCACTTTGAATCTCACATGCCTTGTGTTACCTCGCTTCAGATAGAGCCGATTATTGCTCGTGCTTTGTCGGTGCCGCTTCCGTTGATGTTGCTCATCTCAGATCGTATCGATTGGTTTGTTCATAGTGGCGTGCTCCTATCTACGTCTTTCATACACGTGCGCATCTCTTGTTGAAGTTTGCGACCGTTGATGCACTCGGTGTCAGTAGTCCGTCTGAGTCGGCCAAGTGCCAGTACGACACAAGTATGGTCTCATAGCGCTCCTGACCAAGTTTCGTTTGCTGTGGATTTGCTCGGGATGGACAAAGTGGGGATCTCATTGAGACCTGCAAGTGGTCCGGTGCAGTGGCCGAGTGCCCTGGAGCTCTCTGTCGATGCCCCCATGTATCCTTTTGGCTTTTTGGAGAGCTCATTCATGGCCGAGTGTTCTTTCCATCTTGAACATGGGAGGGGAGGAGGAGGAGGGGGAAGGAGTCTCTGCAGTCTCTGCGTGATTGCATGACGATCTGAATGCACAAGGTCCGCCTGCACCTACTGGCGGTGCTTGCACCTCTGGGCTTGCTCAGCTTTGCCGAGAACTTGGGGCCAAGCGCTCCGCAGGATCTCTCGTCGCGACTACTTGTAGATGATCCAGGTGCAGAATGCGCAAACGCCCGCAGGCGTGAGATTGTGGACCTTATGACAGCCCTTTGCGTTCGGTGACTCCTTGCTGGAGGCCTGAACTGCAAGTGTTTTGATTGCAGATGCACGCGTGTGGCTTCTGCATCCCCAAGGCGAAACTTGTTTCCTATTGGGTCCGGAACGACGGATTGCAGTCTTGAGCAGACGCGTATTTTGTAACCGCCGTAGGATCCACTTATGTTCGCGTGGATCCAAGTCATGTTTTGATTATGTTTCGGTGGATCCGATTTCCGTTCGCGCGGATCCCACTGCGGATTTTCTGGATCCGCGTACGGTCTTATTTTTGCTCGGCGGGTTCGACTTCGAACCCTTAAATTTCTAGTACCAGATAAAAAACGGGGAGCTGGAAGAAAGCGGATCTTCGGACACCGGAACCCGCCCGTGTGAAGATTCTATTGGGCAGGGGGGGTCGGTCATCAATTTCCCAAGATCGGTCTTGCGCTATCTTGCGCACCCACATCATTTTTCCGCGAGCGCGGGCCCCACTCAACATGAATCCATATCCCTCCTCCCAGTTGCTGCACGCAGCTTGGCCTGACGCCGTCCGTTCGGTGGCGCTGATGTCATCTCGCGAACTCCCCATCGCCATTTTCACCTCAAGAGGAAAATCTTTCATCCTGTGTAAGTGCGTTTCGGCCCTGCGTCTCCTGAGTCAACGGACTGCCTCCTCCTCGTCCTCATTTCCGCTTCCCGCGCATAGAAAAGCGTGGGCAGACGCCGACATGCCCCAGCACGATAGGGAGCTCAGTGCAAGGCTAGAAGAGGAGGGGTCTTCCCTTGGCTGTCGGGGTCTAGTCTCGCGTGGCCCCACCACGATTCCGAATCCAAGACGCGGGCTTTTGCGAGGACGTCTTGAACGGGCCCCCTAGTCAAAAGGTCGTGAACGAGACCCCCAGTCAAAAGCACGATTTGTTTTCGTAAACAGAATCCTTGCGAACGCGTCTCGAACTGGAACTCCTGACTGCACGTGGCGGGGGAACTCAGGTGAGATGTGGTGTGTCGGTTACGTGGCAACCAGCGAATTCGAAAGCCAAAACGCCCATCTTCAGGGCGAAAGTTGTTTTCTTTGCGGGTCCGGATTAATTATGGTTTTTAAGTTTCCACCAGTCGCGTATGAGATAAGCGCCGTGGGATCCACGTAATTTCGCGCGGGTCCAAGCTTTGTAATTGATTATTATCGGGTGGATCCGATTTCCGTTCGCGAGGATCCGATTGCGGATGTTCTGGGTCCGCGTACGGTCCTAGCTTTCACGGTGGATCCGATTTCTAACCATGTTTTTTATACTTATTGCGGGGGAGGGGCGGTCGGTCATCAATTTCCCAATATGGGCCCTGCGCTATCTGGCGCACCCACATCATTTTTCCGTGAGCGCGGGCCCCACTCAACATGAATACATCTTTTTCCTCCCCGTTGCTGCACGCAGCTTGTCCACACGCCGTCCGTTCAGCGGCGCTGATGTCATCTCGCGAACTCCCCATCGCCATGTTCATTTCAAGAGGAGCATCTTGCGTCCTGCGTAGGTACCCAGGCAGCCCACGGGAACCCCGTACACAGCCCAAAATGGCCCGATGGCAACACCAGGGGGTTCCAGAAGAGCCCAAGAGGGTCGCCAGGAGGGCTGAAGGCGGTCCAAGAAAGTTGCATGATAACCTAAGACCTAAGATGAACCCCGGCATTCGGACGGCCCAAGAAGGCTCCCAGTGCGATCTCAGGAGCCCCCAGACGGATCAAGAAGACCCTAAGAGACCTCTTGGACAGTGCCTGACGGCCCCACAGGGTCCAAGAATGCCTGTTCCAGCCTTCGAGGGCCTTACACAGCGCACCAAATGTCCCAGGACGTGCCCAAGTTGCAAACGACAGCAGCAATCGGCAGTACGCACCAACGACATCGCGCACCAGTTGGCATACAGTTGCACATAGTGACATGGTAGCGAGCAGTATCAGCAGCAGCAAGGACCATGCAGCAACACCGCTGCAGCACGTCTCATTGTGTCCGGCATGTGTTACGTTGCCTTGCTTTGTGCTACGATGCCCGCGCGCGAAACGCGCGTGTGGTACGTGTGAGTGAGTGCGTGTGAGTGTGTGTGTGTGTGTGTGTGTGTGTTCATCTGCTTGCGCACATGTGTCTGTGTGTGCATGAGTGCTTGTGTGTGCGCGCGGCGTGTACAGACACAGACACATTTATACAATTTTCCATGTACTTCATTCATGGGGACCCTGCGGAAACCCTGTCCTCCCCCATCGCGAAGCGGGACCCCCCGGATACGTGGCCTCGGGGGCCCCCTGGATTTGGACGCCCCTGCAAGAGGCCCCCCCCTCCCGGGCTTTTCAGAGCTCCTGGACGCCCCTGCTGCGCTTGGGCAACGGGCCCAAATCGGTCAGGAGGGCGGCCGAACGCCCCCCGGAGGGTCCCAAGAGGCCCCAGACACCCACCAGACGCCCGAAGACGATCCAAAGAAGAGGCTTTCAAAACGCAGAAACATATTGATTTCTCAAGGTTTGGAGCGTTCCTGCTGGGTCGCCTGGCCGTTGCCGGGGGGCACCGCTGGGGTAAGAACGAGTGCGCCCAAGGTGCCCGCGCGTCGAGACAGTGGCAACATGCTGAGATGGTCTGGCCCGTTGCTCAGGAGACAGCGTCGCCAGTCTGCGTTCCGAGACGACCAGAATTGACATGGTCTGGCCCGGTTGCACGTTCCGCTGAAGACATCCTTGAAGTTCCGGGCTCCCAGGCCCTGCGCGAGATGCGGTGCGGCCCATATACTCGGTCGCTCAAGGATAGCACGAATGACATAGCACAAATCGTGAAAGCGAGTTTGGCATATGAATAATTTCCATGTTTTGGATCGAGAACGTTGTTTTCCGAGCCCGACTTGTGCTATGTCGGGCGCGTTTCGCGCGGATCCTCTCGACCCCGCCGGCCGATGGGGATGGGGGGAGATACAGAGAGGGAACAAAGAGAGAAGGGGGATGTATCGGAGAAACCTCGCCCCAAAAAGCGCCGCCCTGGCGGCGAGAGAGGGGGGCTCTCCTGAGTTGTGCTATGCGAGCCGCGTGCTATGCTACGCGTGCGGGGGGGAGGGGGGAGGGGGGAGGGGGCGAGGGAGAGAGCGAGCCTCAGCCTGCCTCAGCCTCAGCCTCAGCCTGCTTCAGCCTCAGCCTCAGTCTGCCTTCAGCCTCGGCCTCAGCCTCAGCCTGCCTCAGCCTCAGCCTGCCTCAGCCTCAGCCTCAGCCTGCCTCAGCCTCAGCCTCGGCCTGCCTCAGCCTCGCGCGCATTTCGCGCGGATCCTCTCGACCCCGCCGGCCGAGGGGATGGGGGGAGATAAAGAGAGGGAACAAAGAGAGAAGGGGGATGTATCGGAGAAACCTCGCCCCAAAAAGCGCCGCCCTGGCGGCGAGAGAGGGGGGCTCTCCTGAGTTGTGCTATGCGAGCCGCGTGCGGAGAGAGCGAGCCTCAGCCTGCCTCAGCCTCAGCCTCAGCCTGCTTCAGCCTCAGCCTCAGTCTGCCTTCAGCCTCGGCCTCAGCCTCAGCCTGCCTCAGCCTCAGCCTGCCTCAGCCTCAGCCTGCCTCAGCCTCAGCCTCAGCCTGCCTCAGCCTCAGCCTCGGCCTGCCTCAGCCTCGCGCGCATTTCGCGCGGATCCTCTCGACCCCGCCGGCCGAGGGGATGGGGGGAGATAAAGAGAGGGAACAAAGAGAGAAGGGGGATGTATCGGAGAAACCTCGCCCCAAAAAGAGAGAAGCCTCAGCCTCAGTCTGCCCAGCCTCGGCCTCAGCCTCAGGCCTCAGCCTCAGCCTCAGCCTCAGCCTCAGCCTCAGCCTCAGCCTCGGCCTGCCTCAGCCTCGCGCGCATTTCGCGCGGATCCTCTCGACCCCGCCGGCCGAGGGGATGGGGGGAGATAAAGAGAGGGAACAAAGAGAGAAGGGGGATGTATCGGAGAAACCTCGCCCCAAAAAGCGCCGCCCTGGCGGCGAGAGAGGGGGGCTCTCCTGAGTTGTGCTATGCGAGCCGCGTGCGGAGAGAGCGAGCCTCAGCCTGCCTCAGCCTCAGCCTCAGCCTGCTTCAGCCTCAGCCTCAGTCTGCCTTCAGCCTCGGCCTCAGCCTCAGCCTGCCTCAGCCTCAGCCTGCCTCAGCCTCAGCCTCAGCCTGCCTCAGCCTCAGCCTCGGCCTGCCTCAGCCTCGCGCGCATTTCGCGCGGATCCTCTCGACCCCGCCGGCCGAGGGGATGGGGGGAGATAAAGAGAGGGAACAAAGAGAGAAG